GACAAACGCAATCCAATCGCGCAATTTGAAGTGCGGGACCCCCTTTTCCTTGGATTTGGGCTTGACCGCATGGCGTTTGAAAATGCCCGTGAGCAGGTCCTTGAATTCACTCAACACCGACTAGTTCATTTATTAGTGTCGATATAAATGAAAGTCAATGAGATTTTGCATGTAATCAACTACTTTCATCGCAGGGTTCTGTGCCTCCTCGCGAAGCGTCGACTTGGCTTGCTGCAAGAAGCACAAGTGCTCGACCACAAACCGATCCACGCGCTGTCCGAGCCGTCCCAACTCGCCAAACTGCTCGTTGCAAATGCGAAGCAAGAGTTCGGCGAACTCGACCACGGAAATGACCTGGGTCGCCTCGGCACTACCAATCGAAAGGTTCATTCACCATATACACCGTTACAACCAAAACCAATCGTTTATCGTGCATGGCACCTGTCGTCGTCTCGTGGAGTCGGCACCAATTGCGTCACGACGCGCAGCCGCTTCATGGCTCGCCACAGCTCGTCCACCGTGAGCGCGTACTTGGTGTCTGGCCCTGCTCTCGTATACAACAGTCGAAAGCACGAGTCGTTCACTTGAAAGGTGCGGCGGACGTTCACGAGCTCGGTCTCGGCGTCGCCTTCGTCTCGAAAGATGTTTGCGATGGCAGCTGACTCGAAATTGAGCACTTGAAACAAGCTTGGTCGTACGTCTACGCACAATAGCGTAACCAACATATGTGACTCTAATGAGGTCGAGGGAGGTAGGTAGGTACCCCTGGAAGTGAGCAAGTCGATGGACGTGTTGTTGGCGCATTCCTTCTCTCGCGCCATGCCACATGCACTGTTCCACATCGCTTGTCGGCCGTGTGCCAGGGCTTGCTTGGTGTGCTTGACCTACACCCATGTTTACTACTTGATAAATACTAATTAGTTCGTATCTATATGCAGTGAATAATATATTAATATATATAAATCCATTTCAAACCTCGGTACTTCGTTCCCAAGAATGCAAAATCGTGTCGTGGATGCGTTCAATGGTACTTCGAAAGTTGGAAATTCGAGGCAGCTCAACCGCTCGCAGTTTCGTGGTGGCAAATGCACTGAACGTTTTACTCGCTAGCGGCCCCCCCGACACGAATATGCTCGTGACAGGCAGCTCAAAGTGCTGGGCTGGCTCGAGTCGGAGGCGTTGCTGGCCCTACTGGCGTAGTTAGATCGCCTCATTTCGAGTCCGAAGAGTAGATTGATTTCTACGGACCACCGGGCGCCCCAGGATGGACGTGGAGCTTTGCGTCGTGAGCGTTCGTTTCGACGGCGATCGCTTCTACAGAGCCCCTTCAACGAGACATTCATATGGCGTCTGTTACATGAAACGACGCGCTGCTGGAATCGGACGTCGAGTCCAGCACACTGGCGTGGCACAGCGCAGCACACATGTCTCTCCACAAGTGAAACGCCCGGACGAAATGCCTGGACGACGTCAGCGGAGTGATCTCGCTCTCGTTGTCGCCGTCGTCGTCGTCCTCGTCATTGTTGTTGTCGTTCAGCTGGGCCGCGGCGAGGAGGTTCCGCCGGCTCGCTTTGGACTTTTTCAAGCGCTTCTTCTTGTGTGTGTGCAGGCGGTCGCTGATGTGCGCGTTGTACACGTACGGGCACATGTCGCTGGGGGAGAAGAGAAGACTTCCGTACTCTTGGAAGCACCGCCCCACGAGCAGCCGCCGCCAGTGCGCGGTAAACGGCTGCAAATCAGTCAGCGTGAGGCTTTGGACGTGCACGAGGCCTTGGGCGTTGCCGATGGATTGGCGCCGCAATGTCGCTGGGTTGGGCGTCGAGGCTTTATGCATCGCTAGAGTAACTAAACGTGGCAAGAGTGTATTGGGAAGAGGAGGTGGGAGGACGTACTCACGGTTGTGGCCACTGGAATGACCGAGATCTCGTGGTCTTCGAAATGACGGGCAAAGAATAACGTGGGGGACACGGCATAGTGATCTTGTTGGCGGATGCATTCGACGACCCAGTCTTGAAAGTACGCGGCCTAGTAAGCGTTGCAACATCAAAGTAGGAGCGAAATATATATATTTCCACACTGCCGACATATATATTATTATATATCGGCAGTGGGGTATATAATATTATATTTATTATTACCACACTCTGACTCGACGACGTGGCTGGGACGGGCTTGGCGTGTGTGCTGAAGAGGACGTGATTCTGGCCCAGGAACGTCCCGAGTGCGTCCAAGAACTCGATGAACGTGTCCAACGATAGGTCGTTTATGGTCGATGGTTTCTGCAGCACGTACGAGACAAACTGGTCCAAGCAGTACTCGTCCAGCGAAAACTACCCACTTACATGAGAGAGTGTGGACGAGATTGTACATATGTACATTACATGGCCGAGGAGGTTTTGATGGAAGCCGAGGTTGTATTGGGATCGCAAGAGGGACTCGAGGACAAAGTGGGCGATTTCAGAAACAACTTCGATGCGCAGCTGGCCGTCAAAGCACACGGCCTCTTCTCGCCCCGACGAGCTTTGTATGAAGGTGTTGCCTGCATTTGTATGTACGATTAGGAGCGTTCTCCACCACCCATTCCAAGTATATACCGTGCTCGATTTGAACGGACAGGAGCTGGACGTTGTCGTGGAGGGCGTTGTGGTCGTCCTGGAGCCACGTGTATTCGTCTTGCAATGCGTCGTTCGTGTCTGTCAACTCACTCACGTTGCGTTGGGCGGTGGCCACTTTTTCACTGACATTGGGTTAATAGTATTCGATATATTTCGCACAGATAAATATATATATATTTGTACCAGTCCTCGTGCAGTTTTTGAGTGATCCGTTGATTGATTTGAACGCGACACCAATTCCGCCATTCTTCAAACGTCGAGAGCAGCATCGTCCGCGGCGACCCCGAGTACCACACGGAGAACCACCGCAGGTTCTTGGAAATCACCTAATAAGTTTCGTTGATTATCATTTCCAACACGAAAATATTATTTAAAAATATATATATAATACTACGCAGTACCTTTTTCCGCACGATGGACTCTTCGTACCATGCAAAGAAGCACGTCCGTGTTAATTCTGCGTCCCAGTCGCGCATCGTGGCTTCCAACGTCAGCTGCGCCCGTTTCAGCTCTTTTTCGAGAAAAAGATTGCGCTCCGAGCACCGCTTCCTAGCTCATTTACAGCTAGTGCCATATATATATATATATAT